GAGAGAGAGAGAGAGAGAGAGAGAGAGAGAGAGAGAGAGAGATACAGCCACCATTCCTACTCACGATGAAGAAGCCAAGGTGTCTAGCCACAGCCAGCACTAGTACTAGAATTAGTTTATCATCGACAGTATTACCTTACCTTAGACCTTAGATCCTCCCGCAACCTTGTTGCATAGGTCGACTCCTTGTCTGACTTTTTGTCTCCAAAGGTTTCGGTCTTGCGCCACTACTGCCATATCCTTAAGTGAGTTAAGTCCAAGTTTTACCCCATCATTTTGTAGTGTTTTCCGCAAAGTCACTCTAGGCCGCCCTCTCGGGCGTGTGCCTTCTGGCTTCCATGTTAGGGCTGTTTTTGTGGTTCTGAGATCAGGGAGTCTCCACACATGTCCACACATGACAGTATTAGAATTGGTATATTCGTAACAATCGCTGCCCTTGCCACATGTACAAAATGTACGATAAGGCTTATCTAGTCCTTTACTTGTATCTCCCAGTGCTCCCCCCATCCATGCTTGCACTTGTAAACAAAACTAAGAGCTCTTAAGGTCGGAACTTACGCTCGTGTAAAGTGTAAAGAATCAAAGAATGTATTAATCAACTTTCTTTGTATATAAATATTATGAGAAACATACTGATGATCATAAAAATGGTACTCTGCTTAGCATCTGGGAAAAATATACACACACACCACTACCAGTGGACTATCTGTGTGGCCTATGGGCTACTGGAAAGGAGATAGGTGCTGCCCTAGTGCGGAAATCACTGACCTTTGACCGACGGCCCTCCTCAAGATGACTGACCAAATGTCTTGGACACGTGACCATGTGAACGCGTGACTTCGATAATTCCCAAAGACACTAAAATTGGTCAATTACACACCTTGTCGGCGGACTGGTTGATTGATATATTGATTAATTGATTGATTGATCCTTACATTTCTGTGTTGCAGACGACTATGAGTCCGTCACGTGTCCTGCTGATGACGTGTCTGTCGCTGATTGGCCTGACGCTGGCCAATGGGGAGTACTTGTGCGGGTCCACGCTGAAGGACGTGATGAGCTTTGTGTGCGGGCGCCGGGGGCACAGGGCCAGGCTGAGTAAGGAACATGTTTTAACTTTTGATCCAACACAAAAGTTCTCTCACCTAGAGCTTTTGACCAGTCACTCTGGTCTTCCTCAGTAGACTGACCCAGTGTTGACGTCACACTTCAAAGAAGCCACGTGACAAGCCTCACTGGGTCAGTCTACTGGGCCCACTGGGTATTTCACGATGGGAGATTGATTAGCCCAGCTATGTGGTGGGGCAAGTTAACTCCACTGGCGTACCATCTCTATTAGCGTATTAAACACTCCTACCGGGTCGGTCTGTTGCACTGGGCGGGGGAAGCTCTTAGAGCCCCGAAGACACAGCCTGCCTGAACACCCAAACTACTATGCCTATACTATACCACCATAAGACTGGCTACCTAGCCTGGGTGCACAAAGTATCTCAGTGTGCATGCTATGGGTTTGGCCCCCAGGCTACTGGATACCTAGCCTAGCCTGGGTACCAGACCCATAGCACACTGGACACACAGTATCCGATATACTTTGTGTCCAGTGCGCTATGGGTCTGGAACCCAAGCTACTGGATACCTTGCCTAGCCTGGACACAAAGTGTCTCAGTGAGTTGTGTCCAGTGTGCTATGGGTCTGGTACCCAGGCTAGGCTAGAGCAGGTGGTACACGTGTCGGGTGACGGGAGCCGCGCAAACCCGGGCGGCACGCGCCGGGGCCCGGACCCGCCGACTGGCCCGCCCAGTCTCGGCGAAAATTAGCCCCAGCTGCGGCCGCCGCCGCGTGCTACGTGACTCTTCCCTAGTCTCGCTCGCAGGCCTTTCCGTGGAGGGCTTGATGGGACATGTTATCTCGGTGTCTTATAGTAAAATGTTGGGGACGGGGTGTTCAGCTGCAGTACCATACCAAGCCGCTAGGAAGCCCAAAACCTAATAATTTCGAGATCTCATCAAGATCTACCCGCCTACCAAGTTTCAAGACACATACAAACGCTACCAAAACATAGTCTGCTTAGCGAATGTAAAAACAAAACCGACCGTTTAAAGCTGTGCTTGGAGATATTACATCAAACTAGCCTCCTGCGCAGGCTCCGTTTTGGGTGGGAATTTTGATACAGCGTTCTGAAGAGTTTTTAAAGCGTTATTTTAGTAGCCGACCATCCTACAACCAGCCACCGGGAGAAGGTTCCATTCCACCCACGTGCGGCTATTAAAATAACGCGTTAAAAAAATCTTCAAAACGCTGTATCAAAATTCACACCCGCCCCGGATCCTGCAAAGGAGGCTACATCAAAACACCCTCCGCGTAGCCTGCGACCGAGGCTATCGCCTCCCTTTTGGCTGCGTCGCGGAATAACAGGAAACGCTCGAGTGGCCTCCAGAGACGTCAACATGTTTTTATCCACATGATCTGCTGACGAAAACACACTCAGGTGGTCACAGCAGTAAAACAGTACTAACAGTAGCAAGTCTCCTCTTAGGGACTCAACGCGATTTCAGGGAAGTAAAACTGGAATTCCAAAGCCAATTTTCTTGTCATTTAAAAAAAAGTTGAAGTAACCCTTTCCGACAGCATACTGATATCTGTGAGGCAACAATGTGATGTCACTGACGGAAAACGGTTGCTTGTTTCGTATCGTAGAACCACCCTACACAGTCTATGTCATTCCATCATGGATCATCATGATGTCTTGCCTACACTATAGAGATACTTCATCTAACAGTCAAAGACCTACCGGTTGAAATTTTGTTAATACAACATTGCGCACATTCCACCTAGGTCGCAAAAGGCTTTAAAAACGTCAAATAGTTAGTCTATCAGCTTTTGTCTATAAGCCTTGTCATTTACACTCAACATGCCTATATGTACAAGTGGCCACGTAACCCGTGTAACATGCGTCATTTCAGAGTCATATATAAGTCTGAAGAAGACGAAAGTCTGAAGCGTTTGTTAACAGTACATACTTCGGTAACGCGATCAGAACTTAGCCTCTACCAGGCTTCGGGAGGCGGCTGGGAAGAGTAAAAATCGGCCAAAATGGACAGATAACATGCCAGGGGAGTTGGTCTGCTGGAGAGACCAGTTTGCCGCTCCAAACTCTTGGCATGCTATCTCTAGGCTAATCAAAACTTGCACACGTACTCCCAAACACGTAGGTCCCTGTACGCAAAATTTGATATACACACCCTGGATCATATAATTGCTGTAGAAGTCGGAAGTCTGAAGAGTCTGTCAACAACAATTACGTCAAACCACACTTCACTGGTCATTACATCAGCCGTACGTACGGGCACACAGGCACGTAGACTTCACGTCATTCCGATAACAAGAGCTTAATAATAACCTTCAAAATTCGTGACCCTAGCATGTGTAGGACACGAGATATCAAAACCTGAAGTTCTGCTGCAGTACCATAACAAGCCGCTAGGGAGCCCAAAACCTAATCATTTCGAGATCTCACCAAGACCTACCCACCTACCAAGTTTCATGACAATCCATACAAAGCTTCTTGAGTTACCATTCTAAATCCCACACATAGTTACACACACGATATTTGATATATACACCCTGTTGGATCATGTAAATGCTGTCGAAATCGGAAGTCTGAAGGGTCTGTCAACAACTATTACGTCAAACCACACTTCACCGTGGTGATTACATCAGCCGTACGTACGGGCACCCTGGCACGTAGACTTAAAACGCTTGAAAGCAAGCACGTCACACTGAACAGTAAACTAAATACCGGGCCCAACAGCGCTTAAGGCGCACTACCAACTCATTTAGCGACTAAACAAAGTTTAACTACCACACGTTAGCCAGCGTGTAAGGCCCGTGGTTTAACTAAATGGAGGATCTGGTAAAATTTCCTTGGGGAGGACTGGCCTGTGTATGGCCCCGGAAACTAGCTTGGTATCCACTAACAAAACAGCTACACGTATTAAAGACGTTGAAAACGCACGGAAATAAGATAAACACACACTCTCTCTCTCTCTCTCTCTCTCTCTTTCTTTTTCTCTCTCTCTCTTTCTCTCTTTGTCTCTCTCCCTCTCCTCTCTCCCTCCGTCTCCCCCTCTCTCTCTCTCTCTCTCTCTCTCTCTCTCTCTCTCTTTCTTTTTCTCTCTCTCTCTTTCTCTCTTTGTCTCTCTCCCTCTCCTCTCTCCCTCCGTCTCCCCCTCTCCGTCCTCTCTCTCTCTCTCTCTCTCTCTCTCTCTCTCTCTCTTTCTTTTCTTCTCTCTCTCTTCTCTCTTTGTCTCTCTCCCTCTCCTCTCTCCCTCCGTCTCCCCCTCTCTCCGTCTCTCTCTCTCTCTCTCTCTCTCTCTCTCTCACGCACTGTAGACTGTGGAATCGTCTGGAATCGTATACATGTAGTGTACAGTACAGTACAGTCAGACCATATGTGTACATATATACATGTACATCATGTCATGAAGTACAATTGTATATATAGGCACCATGCAGGAATGCGGCGGTTTCTACTGCAGACCAGGTCGAGGCCAGGGCAGTACGCCCCAGTGGTAACGTTTCCTCTGATGTTTCACACGAGAACAAGTCACTGACTTCGGGCTGGTGTAGCCTGGGTGCCAGGCTGTTTCCAGGGCGCGAAGGTTTTTATTTTGAATAAACCATTATTTCTCTCTATTCTCTCTTGTAGATGACCACAAGCTCATTGAAGACTGCTGCCTGAATGTGTGTGATTACGAGTACCTGGAGAGCTACTGCAACCCGAGCCCACGGAAACACCCGAGACAACCACGGAAACACCCGAGACAATTCCGAACGACGCCGAAGACGCCCCGGAAATTCCCGACTGAGGAGACGACGATGCCCAAGTTCGTCGTATGACCTTGCCGTGGAGTTCCGTCGTGACCTTGAGTCAAACGGTGCCCTTGGTGGTCCAAAAGTTCACGAAAGGAGGCTTTAACAACTTTCTAAAGATGAAGCAAGTTTAAACTGTAATTTCCAACACAAGAAATTGGACGTACCCATTTTTTTACTGTACAACTCCAATCTTAATCAAGGAATGGGCGATCCTCCGCTTCTGTGACGTCACGTTAAGCAGATGACACACGTGACTTGATGAGCAGTGGGTCACGTGTTGCAGAAAGTCTGTGGCGTCCACCGTCTTTGTTGAGCCACGTGCTTCATCTGCGTAACGTGACGTCACAGAAGCGGCGGATTGCTCATTCCTTGACATCGACTGGAGTTGCACAGTGGAAAATTTGGTTAAGTTCGATTTCTTGTTTTGGGAATTACAGTTTGAACTTGTTTCATAATGACTTCTATACCAACACAGATGAACTTCCAAATAGTATTATTACAGACTTACAAAACTTTAGGACATTTCGTCCGGGCTGCTTTGAAATATACAAAAATGATCTATACCTTCCAATCACTGTTTGATTTTGACCCCAAGCATGCGCAATTCAAAACGTGAAACGGCTTATTACACTAATAATATCTATGTCGACCCCCCCCCCCTTTAGTCCTCTAGATTCTTCTATTGCCACCTAGTAGATATGCAATGCAGAGCACCGTAAAGTAAGAAAAAGGAATTTTTCCTAAAATCACATTGGCAACCATATAGCTTTATTTCTTGACAAAATTTCATCCCCCCCTAATTTTTCAAACCTTCGAAAATTGTTAACCATAAAACATATCTGTATGTGCTTTTACAAAGTGACACAATTTGTGCTTGGAAATGTATGTATATGCACTGCTTATTGTGGAACAATAATGCATGTATTCACCCATATTCAATGATATATTGATATCCCTTCACCTTCACATGTAACGTTACGTAACTTTCGAACATTAGAATGTTTCCAACATGGCGGACGCAGGATTACGTCACAGTCACGCGACTGGAATCGTCCAATAGGAAAGATTCGTAGAGCCAAATGCAAGAATACATCAGAACGAATGCCGCCATTCTAAAACGTTTAGATCTCATACTACTGTATATCTGTACCTACCACTCTTGTTACTAGTATTTCAAATGTGGAAAAGACTTAAGAATTGTAATCTGTACCAGCTTTTGAATGATTTTGCATATTAACAGTATTAGTTTATTGTGTTAGTCACGGAAAAATGCTGCAATGTTTTAATTACTACACACTGAGGGCAAAATGCTGGCTAAATAAAATAGGAAACTACAACTGTCTCACGTACTTTAATTATTAAGTTACTAAATTTCTCCCGGTTGCAATAGACCCATAAGCAGCTAAGATATGTCAAATGGCTACTTTTGTGTGCCAAAGGTAATACAAGGTTTATATTTTTAACTTAGTATTGTTAGTATTGTTAGCTTGCTTGCAGTTGATCGGGTGAGGTTGATTTGAGGGTAAGATTTATTATATTTTGCATTGTGTGTGTGTGGTGTTTAAATTTAAACAGATGGACTTAGAGGAAATTATTGTCATCAGGGAATGATGAAAAATGAACCAATTTGACGGTAAGAGTTATGTCTTAATACAGCTAAGGAATGGGAAGTAAAAACTGCAATAAGTACCGATGAATTAAGGTTGAATTAATGGATACAAGCATTCATTCAATCTCAATACCGGGAAATCATACACACACGATGGAGTCATTCGCTCATGCACGCATTCATTCACACTTAAAACCTTGTTCACAGTATACTAACAGTAAACTAAGATCTGTAAGTAAGTACACAGCAGACAGTAGTTTTAACGCGTTGTGGCATAATTTATTCAATTTCGCGTAGATCTTCACATTAATTCTTCTCATTGAGAAGATTTCATTTCATAGAAGACATTTCAGGTAGGGCATTGTAATTTACATATTTACAAGCGTTCGACTGTTCGTTAGTTACGTCATCAATTCATGCGGTTACGTCATCAAATCGTGTTGCGCGGAATTCTCGTAGGAAGGTTGGGTATAGTGGTCACGTGACTCCGCCGAACAGTCGAACTTCTCCCATCATCTGAAAAACATGATTTACAAGGTCACGAGAAATCTATACAAGGTCACAGGACGACAAACCAAAAAAAAAATTTACTATAATCAGAAATTTGAGTAATGTATCTTGGGAACATTTTCTTAGATATATTGTTAAAACATCTAGAAGTAAAATATAAAACATCTAGAAGTAAAATATTTATAGAAATTTTTTTTATAAAATTCGAAAATTTTACCTGCTATTGCGGAACGAGGGTCTCGTCCACGTCGTCGAACAGGATCATGGGAGCTGGAGCAGTCACGTGATACAGGGCCACGCCTGGCGTCACAGAAGTGTCACGGCGCCGCCTACCGGCAGTACCGCAACCTGCAGGGGGAAACGAAGATTGTTAGCCATTGAAAAAGTACAGTTGAGACATTTAAGTGTGGTTATATCAGAAAAACCAATGCTATGAAAAGGGAAAATTGACAAAGGTGGGTCCGGAGCTATAACAAAACATTGCTGTAAAGAACATTAGATTCATAATACGAAGTTTAACGCGAGGAGGCTTCCGAAAGGAGCTAATTTGTGGATAGATGCTTTACAAACATTAATGTTACGGCGAGAGATCCAACATGAAAACCGATAAGAACAATCATGAAAGCCGCTTTAAGACAAGGCCTATAACCTTAGTTATAGGGGAGCAAGGGGCCAGTACCTGGCCTGCGCACTTAGGCAGGTAGGCATAACCTTAGTACAACTGCAAACACGCAAACAGAAAGTACCGAACGCCTTGAAGACGGAGCCTGACGTCGACCTTGCAATTAGTGGTTGCCGACAGCAGAAGATTTGCAGATGAGAACGTCAGTGCGTGAACACTTAGAGGTTCAAGAAAGTTAAACTAGATAAATGTCTTAAGACGTAGCCTGACCTTGCGAGCAGCGGTTGCCGATAGCGGAAGACTTGCAGATGAGGACGTCGGCGTGCAGGTAGACCTTGGGGTAGTCCGTGGCGAACTTGAACGCCTGGAAGCCGAACCGGATGACGGCGTGGTTCGGGGCGGGGTACGCGACGTAGGTCGGGTCAACTCCGCAGCTACAGAGGGGATTCAAAATAGTATCGGTTAAAAAAGATTGTGTAGCCACAAACCAATGCACCTCACAGCTAGGGGCGATAAAACCACCTAATATATTGGAAAAAATTTCCGTTCCTTAGCGAACTCACCTATCTAACCTCCAAGATTAATAATTACCTTAAATTAAGGTTCGCCGTCATTTTCTTGCATAAGCATCTACATCTTACGTATGGAAGTGTGGGGGGAGGGGTGGGAAGTGTGGGGGGAGGGGTGGGGTTAAGATGCGCCAAAAAAGACTGGGGAGTGACTAAAGCAAAGTAAAATCAGACGTTTAAAGTAGCATCCACTAATACAGTTGCTTGAGTAACTTTGTACTACTAGTATCTCATTTATACCTTGATGTCTTAACATTCATCGACATATACGGGGGTAAAGATGGTGGATCATTTGATATTGATACTCACCCATTGTTGATTATGTCATATAGAGGCCCGCCAGTTCGCGCCATGGATGTTGTGGCTTCACCCGTCAGGACCAGGATGCTGAGGTCGGGGTCAGAGGCCAACAGCTGGACTTCGACGTAAACCTGGCAAGGGCAAGGGGTCAAGGTCATGAGAAGTTGGGTCACAGAATTACAATGAACCTAATTGGTAAGGTTTATACAAAAAAGTAAAGGTCAACAATTAAGTGAATACTCATCTACTGGAAACAAAGCTTGCAGTTTACACCAAGTTAGACAAGGATTTTACGTTAGACAGATGCTATGTACAGTATTTACAGGTGCCTTGTAAGAAAAATCCCATCCCTTTCTGTGCAAGCTAAGCAAGAACATAAATTATAGTTCAGTTAAGTACCAAGGAGTCCAACGCTTCGAAAGCCCCAAGATTAGTAACTTTTTTTATTATTCATTCACATAGAAAAAGGGTACAAGACATGGTGGTGCCGCACTGAAGTGCATTGTCTCATATCTTTTTAGTTTAGTTAGATGTCAACTTAATAACAGTGGCTTTGGTTTCATCCACAATATACAGTGGCTATGGCTTCATTCACAATAAACAGCAGCTTTAAAAACATTTTGGCGCCGCCCCAGGAGCGGCGCGTTTGCCTCTTACCTGTTCGCAGACCCGGTAGGTGACGGGATACGGCTTGTATTGGGAGCAGACGCTGTCCACACAGAAGTGCATGATCACGTTGATGTCACCAGTACCGACGGCAGAGTACCTAAAACAAAACATTAACAGATTAATGTCATCTTTAAAATGTCTAGGTTGGCCCAACAAGAATTCATTCATTTGACCTTGAAATCAGATGGAAAATTGGTACAAGCTATGTAATAGAAATTAGAAGATTCGAGTAGAAGATTCGAGTAGTACGTAGAAATTGACAAAGTAAATGTAAACCTCGGTGAGGGCCATATACTCCTTCAAAAATGCCCAAAAGACGCTACAACCTAGACCCTTATCCTTGTAAGAAGCATTTCAGGAAAAATATACTAGTTTTGTGGCAACAGGGGATCACGTTGTCATGGCAACGTGTTTTTCCTGGAAATACATTGTCACAGCAACGTGTTTTTCCTGGAAATTACGTTTGTCATGGCAACATGTTTTGGCAACATGTTTTTCCTGGAAATTAAATTGTCATGGCAAACGTGCTTTTCCTTGAAATTACGTTGTCATGGCAACGTGTTTTCCTGGAAGTTGGAATCTTACATTTCCGGAACCTGAACGGGGTCGAAGTCTCCGGACACACTGAGTCTGCGCGGGATCTGGCACTGGATCCTCATCTCGAACCCGCAGTCTCGGATAATCTCGCCCGCTCTCGCGAGAGACTCGTCCGTCACCACGTTGTCGTAGACGATGAAGTCCGGTGTTTCCTAAAAAAATTGAAAAAATTGAAAGAAAAAAGACATTGTAAGATAACAAGACATCAAAAGATTAGTCATTTTATAGACCTCATTTTTACTGAAGAAAAATGAGTTTCTTATCAAGGCAATGTTAATGTTTGTCGTCCTGTAATGCATGACGAAGTCAGGCTTAGGCCTGTACACATTGGGGAAGAAGCTACTTGTGAAAACAATTGCTCAGGATAATTTTTTGTTCAGGAGTTTTGTTTTAAGTTGTTTGTAAAGCTTGACTCACGTATGAGGTGGTTCCGCATGCGTTAAGAGGGGACTTCATGATCATGTGTGTCCCGTTACTGGTGGCACGGCAGGCCGGGTCCACAAGGCGCAGGTTGGAGGTGCGAACCTGGGGACGAGAAGAGGATGAATATTGGTGAATAATAGGATATTAGACCAGTTCATGATACAATAACGAGAACGGATGAAGAGAACGGGTGAAGAATTGAGGCAGTAGAACAATTTTGAAGCTTAACAATGTGAAAGGAATCGCATTTAAAAGTACAGTGACCAAACGAAGCGGCTTTTAAAACGTTGTGGGCGGTGTTGATTGTATGAGGCTTGTTGACGTTTAAGCAAACTTTGTTGGCTTATGGGGAGGTACAAAACCTCACTCAAAAACGGAATACAACAGTTTTAAAGCCAGGAACAATTTTACAAGTTTGGATGGCATTTGAACATTTGTTTTTTGGAGTAAGAGATAGAGAGATACAGAACTACAGAACTTTTATAAATTTTGACTACATACCGTTGGGAAGGAAGAAGCCGCCAGGTCGATCTCCAGAGTGCTGTCCGAGCATGAGACTCCTACACTTGGTGGGGGCGGGGTGGGGGAGG